TTATCTGGACATCAGGCAGGCCATTCTGCAGCAGCACTTGTAAGCGCAACCAGCTGAAATAGGTTCAGCTGAACATACTTGCAGCATTCTCAAGACTGGGATCCTTGCCTTATTATGGTCATTACAAAGCTCAGAATGCTCACAATTAGAAGGCAGTACCCTAAACCTACACCCCTCCAGTCTCAGTTTTCTTACCCTCCTACATGTGGAGGGCAAAAGAAGTGATGACTAAAGGTGAAGGGGGTGAGTGGTTCCCTCTATGTGTGAATATTTTAGAAGTTTTAATGAATGAACAGAGCTTTAGAATTCCTGATCATGGAAATGCTATACACACGTTCAGCTGAACACACACACTTCTGCAGACAGTCTGACCACTGGATGGGATGAGAAAGTGGGAGCAGAATTTACTTGCATTCCCACATCGCCATCACTTTTAGTCCTACACGCTTTCAGGCTTAAAGCCTGAGTAAAGCTAAAGTGGAATGTTTCTGGAGAGATGCACTTAAAAATGCAATTTCCATGCAAAACAAAAATTCTCAAGGCTAGGAACAAACCGGAAGTAAAATTGGTAAGAGTTAAACATTACAGATTAAATAAAACTGGAATTCAGAAGGGATTACAAACATTCTAACTATCCATGCACCTACCTAACCCCACTTACAGGCAGTTTCTAACCACCAGATAAGTCATCTAATTCCACCCGTATGTCTGGCCCACATTTTGTCACCGTACACAGGTGCACTGTAGAAATCTGCTTGCATAGCAAGTTGCTCCAGCAGGAGCATAACAGGGACTGATGGGCTGGGAAAGATTAGAAGCACAGATTCTGAACTGGGTATTTTGCTAAACGACTCTAAAGTAACCATTCAGTTTTGTGCCCTCCTGTCCCATTTCAAAGTCTCCATATTTTTCTTTATCTCATTTTCATCCCCTCAGCAATTCTCTAAGTTAGTGAGGGCTGTAGTTCAAAACCTAACTTCTCTTTTTTTTCTGAACTAAGGTAGGAGAGACTGACTTTGCGAAGCCCATCCGGTAAGTCCCATAGTTGAACAAGGATTTTAACCAAGTTCTCCCACACCCAAACTCCAACTGCTTATCAGCAGTCTATTGCTTGTCAGCTTCAAGGCCCTCCATTTTGTCACCAGCTGTAGTTATTGTGATGTATTGGAACCAAATCACCGGCAACAATCATAGAACAAACACTGCAGTTTCTTTTAACAGATTGAGTCTGCAGCTACACTGACAAATGCCTCAGGAGTTACTCCACAGTTAGCGTAAGTGAATTTGAAGTATTTTTCAATGATCCTATAATGCAAGGGCCAATGTGAATCAGTCCAGCTACACCCCCCCTTTTTTTTTAATTCAGAGTCCGTCCGTCCCCCCCTTGCTGCTGAGGGCTTCTATGTTTAAAAACTGGAATAATGTGAAGCCATTGTTTTCCTTGTGTGATTGTTTGTTCCATTCTACCAAAAGATGATGCGTGTGACTCTGAGTGGTGTTATGATGACAAATTAAGCTGGGGCATGATGTTTTAGGACAGCAGGAACAGCAGGAACACTCACCATTGTGATCTTTCCCCCTATTCACCCCAAAGTACTGTAGTTTTAAAAAAAAACTAATAACGTCAGTGCTAGATCACCTTATCACTGCATTGATACATTAGTTTAGTGCTAGATCATGTCTCAGGGGGAAAAAAAGATAAGAAAGGAGAGCCAGGGATTGCCAAGTGGGCAATATCAAAGGATGGGGGGCTGTGGTCTATTGGCACATATCAAACTGCATCAGACTGAGACCGAGTATGGACACTGGCATCAAAACAATCCAGAATCTTCATATGATTGCCTAAGCCAAATACAACCATAAAGGTAACTGTGAATCAACCCTAGAGATGGGAAGGCCTGGAAAATAATGGGAACATTGGGGGGGGAGTTCCCCCCTTTTTTTCCAAAGTCATTTTTTGTGTTTCTCTGGAAAAAAAATTTTTTTTTAAAAAAAAGGAGTGTGGAATATGTTTTACAATGATAAATAATATGCCTATGACATGGTATTCAAATTATATAACATGAAGACCTTAATGAAAGACTTCTGAGACTTTACGGGTATTTAAGTTCTCTTCAAGCCACAGCAAAGCCAAAACTCTCCTATTTGGCGTGCCCATGTAGTTGCATCCTGAAAGAACTGAGGAAAAATCTCACATCAGGTGTACAGAAATGAAGTTTATCATGTAAGAAGGAAGTAAGAAACAATAGAAATACGGTTGAAAGTAGAAAACTAAATGACACTAGAGGTGAAGAAATGGACCTTGCTGATAATAGTGTGAAAAGCAGGAAGTTCAGAAGCAGGGATTGATGAGATCTGAGAAGAAAGGAGAAGTTGAAGGAAGACTTGATGCAGAGCCTAGGAACAAAAGAAACTGTATGGTTTGTGCGCTTCTTTGGCTGGGAGACTTTAAGCCCCAAAGCCAAGGGAAGTAGCCCAAGAGGAACAGATGTCTGTGTGAGCACGACTAACTTCACACCATGACTTGCCAGCTCAGTTCTTGTAAAGTTTATCTTAAGCATCACAGTTGCCAGCAATTTTGCCTAGATCCTGCGAGATCTCCTCCTGACAGGCCATCCTCTTGCAGCACTTTGTATGACAAGCAATAAAGCGAGCAGCAAAATCAGTCGGCTTAACAACAGAAAAGTAGCTGAAAAATAATCGATCTTTTCCCCTCCTCAAAGCAATAATATACCACTCAAACCAGCAGACGGAGTCAGGCCTGTGTTTTAATCCATTTCTTCCGGTTTTTATCTCTCTCACACACACAACTACTGCCAGCATGAGCTTTTCACCGCCCACTTGGAAAATATTCAAGGTTTGTAAGCGAAACTCCCCAGAGATCCCGGGGTGCCGGTCTGGCTCAGTTCCCCTTTTTCAGCTGCTGTTCCTTCTCTCCATGCAGCTGCTGGGGAGTTTCTCAAACAGTAATTAGAAGCGGGGTGGCAGGGCAGAGAAGAAGGGAAAAAAGAGGGAAAGAGAGGGAGGGAGGGAGAAAGATCTCTCCTGTTGCCCGTAGGGCTCAGCACATCAAACAAACTCAAGCTGGCTCTTGTGAAACTGACGGCAATTTCCTCTTCTGTCATAAAACAAATTGTTGTTTGTCAGGAATGCCAGTTGGTCGTGGAAACACCATGTGCCTGCTTGACTTATAGGCTGGGCGTGTTTGGGAAGGGGGCTCCATAAGGGCAGGAAGGAGACAAGGCAGCTGACCAGTGAAGGCTCCCCATAAAGGAAGCATTTTGACATTCCCCACTCAGGTTTAGATCTGCACTGTGACTGTTCTGAGGCCTGACACAACAGCCAGGTTACTTTGGGTCAGAGCTTGAGAAAATAACCTTTTTTGAACTGAAATTTCCAGATCCCTCATCCAGCATGGCCTGTTGGAGGAGTCTGGAAGATTTAGACCAAAAAGATACATTTACCAAAATGTAGCATTTGAGAATGGAGAACTGTGATAAATGTAGGCCTAGTGCTTATTTTTTTCCCCCAGAAGGAATGGGCTGCTCATTACATTGTACAACCTGAGTCACCACTATTATTAGAGTTGCTGGTTTGTAAAAGTGATATATAGTGTTCTGTAATTTGAATACATTGTGTTTTCCTTAAAAGCATGCCCAAAATAAAAAAGGAAAATTCTTCATGTCCTTCCTTTGAGCAATTATATATTTGAAAATATTTACAGAACTACAAAAGGGAACAAAACAATACTTTCCTTGTCACTTAAAACTGAAGGAAAAATTGAATATAACTTGGAAAATCCCTGTTCAAATGTCTGTAAAAATGCTTTTAAATGCCCTTTTAAAGTAACTTTAAAACATAATTTTAAAAGTTATAAAAGACTAAAAAGTAACTATAACTATTTGTTAATTACATTATAGATGTAACTATTTGTGCTTTAGTTGTTGACAAAGTAAGCAGTTATAAGTAACTAAATGACATAACGAGTTACTTCTGAAGTCTAACTATAACCAAGTCTGACTCAAAGTATTTTCAGTACCTGCCAAAGAAGTATCTAATTCTAGTACCAGTACAACCCATCTCCCAAGAAGGCCTCCTGCACAATCCTTACTGAAATACACAGGAGCTATACAAGAACACAAGTGTACTAAGACAAAACATCATGCAAGAGAATGAACCTCTCAGTTGTGACCCAACAATCAGATCTGTGTCTGCTGACTCTGTCCTTTACTTTCTACCATCCTTTGATCCAAGGTGCTGTTACAATGAAGAATAATTATTTTAAACAACAGAAAGGTATGTTGAGGCCAAATAATAGCAGTAACAAGCTTTTATGTATGCTTTTCCACATATTATCACAATAATCCTTACAGTAATCCTTGCACGTTATTATTACTGCCATTTTCAACTCATATTGTTGATTGCAGTGTAGAAGAAGTTGCCTAAGGCCCCACAATGACTTTGTGGCTAAGATGCAATCTGAACCAGGGACATTAAAAATTAAAATTAAAACTGAAATATGCTGTTTCTGTTGAGCTATCATACATACTATCAACATATAGAATATACAAACAACAAACTTGTTCTCCAAGGGCTGATTGTTATGTAGTCAACCTCAGGTAAGCAAGTTGTCAAGAAACACAGGAATAATAAATTAATGAACAAAAAGGGCACTATCCATGCACAAGAGGGAGGCGTCAAAAGCCTTTGGGCAAGGGTGTCTACAGGAATATTTTCAGCAGAGGGAGCAAAGGTACATAGAAGAAAATGAGCATAATTTGCATGTACTGCATATGGTCGTACAGCACTGTGTCTGTATACATTAAAATTGTTTAGGATTCTCTGGGAGGGGTCAATCCCTTCACATTTGGAAAATTATCAGATTTGCAGACATGCATATTTCACTAATATTTTATGTGGATTTTTTTTAAAAAAGACACCAAAAACAGTGTTTAATAATAAGCAAAAAGTCATTTAAAAAAAAAGAGGTTCCAACATACCTTTCCACTCTCAACATTTCAGGGCATTGCTCACACTAGTAGTCAAGAAGACACTGTGCAGAACATAGCTTCGTTCACTTCCATCTTTTTCTTCTTAAGGAATTTTTCACAGTATTGGGGGGGGAGACTGAAAAACAAGCAGTTGAAAACATGCATATAAGTGAAGGATGATGAAGGAAGACCAGCACTCCAGTTCTTTGGCAGAAGACAATGTGCTTCATACACTTGTCTTTCCAGTCATCCCACACAATCCAAACTAAGGAGCAAATATATCACTTCAGATGTCTCTAGCAAGCAAGCCAAGCTGTGTTCTAACTTTTCTGCTTAGAATATAGCTTGGTATGAGGGCTGCTCTCCGCCCTCCCCCCACATTCCCCCCCCAAACATACAGTCCAGACACAGGTTCTGGATTTAAACTCTCAACTTTTACTTCTAACTTGTTTAACATTTCAGTAAGTGTAAAAACATGGGGTCCATTTTCTTTTCCACCAAGGAGAAGAGGACGTTAACAGAATAATTCACCAAGTCCTTCTCTTTCCCAGTCTTGAACCAGTCTTGGCCCCCAGTTTAGCCCCTCACAGGAGTCCCCTGGCATTGGCCTGTACAACTCAGAATTCTCTTTTGGACGTCCCCCTCTGGGGAGGCTGTCTCCCCACCTTTTTGTGGGTGATAGATTTCATTGTGATGAGGGTTCTTCCGTTCAGCTCTCTCTCCCTCTTTCCCCTTTCAATATGGGCCCTTTCTTCCTGGATCTTGCAGCGCTGCTCCCTCCTTTGTCGTTCATCCCAGAAGGAAGGTTTTCTGGGAGGATGGGAGTTTTGCCTTCTTTCTACCTCTTCCCTGGGCAGCATCATCTGCCTCTCCCTATGGCTCCATGGGTTTTCTATGCAGTACCAAACCCATCCCATCCTTCTTTCTTTGCTTCAACAGCACTACCTCCACCTCGTTTCCTTTCTCCCTCTGCCCCTCCCTTCTGTTCATTCCCCTCCTTGTATATTGTCCTCTCTTTCTCCCCTTCCTCTTTTTTTTCCCTGTTCCAATTTTCCCGCCTTTTCCCTCCATCTCCTTCCTTTCTCCTCTTACAGAGGGCTTCTCTTTTTCTTCCTTTCCCCTTTTCCACTGTTCTGCTGCCTTGGGCTCCCTTCACTTTCCATGCTAGAGGGGAGAGCACTCGGGAGGGAAGGTGAGGTTTGACTATGCCACCCTCTTCTTCATGATATGAAAATATTCACTCCAGGATTATAATAAGCAGTTTTATTTTCATGTCTGCAGCCATGGAGAGACCACACCTCGGCAAATATGGTCTCTCCTGTTACAATGCACAAACAACAACTTTTATACCCGACACATATTTTCCTTTTCTATCCCTCTGACCAATCCGGTCACGGTGGAGGGCTCACATTCTGCCTATCACACGACGCCAACACAACTTAGGCCCTTATTAGTCCAAACTGCCTAAACTCCATTTTGTAAAATCCTCCATTTTGTAAAAATCATCTTTATTACTGTATTGTGAACTTAGAATTTTATAAACTAGTTTTATATCATTCACACTTGGTTCATTTGCTCCCCTCTTCCAATAACACAGAAAGAAAAGGTAGAGACATCAGTAAATTCAAAATATCAAGCAATGTATACACAGTAAAGCAAATAACCATTTGCTGGCCTTTCATAACAATCAAATCAGCTACCTGAGAAGAGCACCCTTTGCCTAGTTATATGGCCAACTCTGTCCCCACAGAAAAACATACAGATGGATGGTATCCTATGCATCAGGACTCTTAATGACTCTCCTATTCCTTTATGGTGTTCAAGCCCTTCTTCACTTTGCCTTATAATATACAGTCACTGGTGAGTGCTATCTTTGGCTCTCCTGTGTGGTGGACAAAGTTGTACCTTTCCGATTCCACTCTCTTTGCCAGTTTCCAGCTAGATGGGTAGCAGAGCAGCTCAGGTAGCACCAGGGTTGAATAAGTTAAATGTGTTCCTCTCAAAAAAAAATCAAGTTCAGGATTGGTATTGCTCAGTGTCTGTTTGCAAAATATTGTGTATATGTGTGTGTGTTTCATGTTCATGAACCTATTAAGACTGTACCAATGACAAAGCCTAGGGTGTGTGCTAGCAAGGAATGCATGTTTCTGTGAAACTGTCCCTGTTTTCTAATTTCTCTTCAAATCTTGAGAATTTTCCCTTAATAGATTCTAAATTTGGTCAGACAGGTTTTCCCCTCCCTAGATGACAATACATGTTTTCTAATAACTATAGGGAGGAAAAGGAAGTGAGTATAATTTTAAAAAAGACAGGCATGAGTTATCTGGGCTGTCAACTGACTACTTTAGAAAAAAACGATAGGAGAGGCCCATGTTTTTTATTTTCTTCATCTTTCAAAAGGTCAGATCATGGAGGTTTTTTATGAGGCCTCCATGATAATAAATGCTACACTATCCAAGCAGAGAGGAACTACAGTACAAAGAACCAGAATAAGAAGGGACAGGATGTAAAGGAAAGGCACACCAACAATCAGTGGCATTTTAAAAAAGATGATAACATAAAATGACATGCATACCTCAGTTAAAAACTGTGGTACTATAACAAGGACAAATGGAAGGGGTTTTACTGGTTCCTACTATTCAGCTGACCCACATAAATAGTTTCTTCACTTTTACAGATACTCATAATAATTACTAACATAATTGTAAATTCAAAAATGAAAAAGTTGATAGGGATTGACACAAGCCAGAAGAAACAACTGGAAGAAAGTAAAGCCATATGAAACCTATCATATTTTGAAACCTATGCAGCTTTGGAACAGGAAGGGGGGAATTTGCTGATATACTTCAGGCATCAAAGTAACTTGGGTCTGTCCTGATTTTTTTTTTAAGCATAGAAATCATCTGGTACCAGGTGATTGTACAATAGCACTTTTGCATACCCCCTCTTTTGTTTTTGTTAGATTTGTGTCCTTTGTGAGGGTGCCATTTGTTGTTTTCCATTCCTGAAAACAAAATGTATTCAGTGGTCAGGATGGTTGGGTCTAGCTGCATTTGTTCTAACTTAAGGGCCACATTCTCCATGGATTATACCAGAAATTTCCCTCACTCTCAAAATAATGTTCTGCTTATTTCACTTTTTATTGTTTTTATCATTTTTATCCTCCACCCACCACCCAATTTTTGAACTTTCTTCTCTTTCCCAAGATCTTTGATTCTTTTATTTTACTAGTGCCGTTTTGTAGTGGGTGGCAGAGATTAGTGCTATTCCGCTTCTCATGCATTTTAGCACTAATAAGCCAGCGAAACCAGAATGCAACAATCAAGAAAACTTATGAAACGCGTTTGTTGGGCTCTAGAAAGTACAACGCTGATTCTTATAAAGTCCTGCACAACCTGCAGTGAGCTCCATGCCCATGATAGCCATGGAAGCAACAGTTTTGAAGTACCTCAGCACTAGGCAGTTAAGAGTGAGGATGTGGATCCTAAATCCCACAAATTTTTGCTGCTAAGTGGCAATAAAGGAGGCAAAACAAGGCAGAACAATTGCTGTGTCTGTAAGAGCTCTGCCTTTCTAATATACTTGTGTCTCTTTTTTACCTCAGGGGATACCTGAACTATCTCTGCAACAAATCATGAAACAAGAATAATCCTAATTGGTGCTGTGTTTTCGGTGGATATACTGTACTCCAAAACTGCATAATAGACTGAAAAGAATAGGCAGTACACAATACATATATCTGGTGCAGAGAGAGCAACTACAATTAATGCCCTCATAACTTCAAGGCACTTTATACCAGGAGAGGTAATTTGTTGAAGGGAGGGTCTAGATTTTCTGAGTACAAATGCTAATGTTTGGTGGTGGATGAGTGAGGTGATATATAGTAACCGTGCCTATTTAGGCCCAACAAACTGGGTCAAAACAAATGTGATCCAATATTTGAAACATAATGGAAAACACCTTGCGCATATACAGCTCTTTTAAAGTGTTCAAAATCGTTGATGTCGTTGTCACCATCATTATAAACAGTTGTATTAAAGTTATCCAGAATATTTGATCCATTCAGATTTATATGCTGTTTCCAGAACTACAATTTGAAAAAACTGATGGGGTACTTCTTAATATATTTGCATTTAGACTGTTCTATAAATCACCAAAAGCATTTATATACTGCATTCTGGTTTCCTCCCAGGAATGGGGACTTGAGTTGCAGGACATGCTGTCAAGTCAGACTTAAGTTGCATTGGTGACTCAACTCAGGGTTGGTTTATTTTTGGTTTTTTTCCCAATGGTGCAGACTCGACTCATGACTCTGAACCCACCCACTCCTCTCCTTTTTCTGGGGGAAAAAGCTTGTTTTTAACAGGGATTAGGAATGGGGGCTTGGGACTCAGGGCTTGGTATCAAAGACTCTGACTGAGACTTGAGACTTGGACCCAAAGATTTGCCAACATCCCTGTTTCCTCCATTTATTTATTCTAGTTCCCTCAATCAGTAGCTCATTCATGATGCCAACATATGTTAATGAGATAAGCAGTATTAAATTAGGTAAAGAGTGCCCAAATGCTGTGACAATATTGAGGTTTTTGTGCAATCTAAATGGGAACAATGGGACACTCTTGATTATTTAAGTAATTAATAACACCCTGCATTTCCACCAAAAAAAGGACTCAGGTGGCTTAAGAGCACCACACTGTCCATCCGTCCGTCCGTCCGTCCGTCCGTCCGTCCGTCCGTCCGTCCGTCCGTCTCTCTCTCTCTCTCTCTCTCTCTCTCTCTCTCTCTCTCTCGCTCTCTC